AAAGAACAAAGATAATTTTGGGGTTGCTCATAGCAATTCAGCCAATGAAAGAACGTTAACATTAATACAAAAAACTATCACAAAAGATTTAAATTTAACCGAAGAAGTCTGCTACATTGAACAACTCTTGATACTATGCAACGATCAAAGTTTGAGATTATTTAAAGAAGCAGACATATTGTTTTATAGAATTAAACGTAGTATGGAAATAAAAGATCCTTTTAAGAAGTAAAAATATTACACATGCTAAATAAATAAACTATTTACAATATTACATGAAAAATTTTAAATCCAAATTTAAATTATAAATAAAAAGACATATAAAGTATAGAATACTAATATAAAATTAAAAAAAATTAAAACCTATTACCAAACTATATAAACTGTAAAAGAAGTATACGTATAAAACTATTTTTTCTAATATTATTACTAGTAGTATACGTGTACAAATCAATTTAGAACCTTAATTTAAGATAGATCAGTAAATCTAACAGTGATATGTATATAAGAAGGTAAAATAATATGTGGTAAAATTATGTAAGAGAAGTGAATTATAAAGTTAAAAGTTTAGCGACATTGTAATGTTAGATTTTTAACGTGCCTTCAAAAAAAGGTAGTTTCAAATCTTTGGTTTAACAATTGATTATTATTCAAAAGCTTAATAATACAAATTTATTTTCTTGGAGACGTAAAAAACAGGTTTCGTACAACGTTGTACAAGTCCTGGCTTGTTTGAGGATTTTCCATTTAAGTTTAGGTGTTTTGTTTTCTTCTTTCAATTTCCAGAAATTTTTAGAAAGTGAAGTCATATTGAGCTTGCTAGAAATAGTAAAAGAATATTATAATATCATTTTTAAACCAACATATAATTTAATATTTCCAGGGTTGTCAATTGATGAAATAGAACACATATATACAATAGTTTCCGTTAAGCATTTGTTTGATAATGGACATTGATCAGGACTCCTATAATTACATAGGTCAGTTCTACGGGATATATTAGAATTTGTGCTTGGATTACAGTTATTATCGTTATAAAGTTTCCCTGTTTTATTATTGTGTGACTTAATAATTTTATCCAGATTGCTAGTACAACTATAGCTAATTTTCAGGGTGTTACGATTCAAGATTTGACTTAATTTTCTAATCCTAGGAAAATGTTTATCAATCATGTTTAAAAATTTGTGACCCATCTGGTACGTACTAATTTATTGGATGGATGTGTATAACAAATGATCTTCCTGTTTCTGTTCTTCTTCCCAGAATAACTAATAATTTTCTACATATTTAAGCTCAGAAGATCTATAACTACTGTCACTAAGTATTTTATTATAAACAGTTTTATACTTATCGAATAACTCTTTCCTAGAGGAGTGTTGGTTAATATGGATGTTCAGCAGATGATGCGATGTATTGAATAACAGACGTTGGATGATTGGGGTTAGGATTGATATAAATGGGACTAGCATTATTTTCAATAAAGGCTGAAAATTATTAAGGGCTAAGTTTAAAGTTATATCTAAGAAACCAACCTGTCTAATACTAGAGTTAAATTTAAATATTCTATGAATCAATTTTCTTAGCTTATCTACTTTACTTCCAGTACAATTATTTAGTATCATTAGACAATCGTCTCTATAAAGCCCAAAATTATTTAAATTAATTTCCTCATATGCAGTAAAGTTGTACAAAATAAAAATTACGACTAAATCAGAGAACCACGCAGAATCCAATGATCCCATAGATATGTCAAAATCTTCATCCGAATTTTTTATCAACTGTTCATTATTGTGGATTAGGATTCAGTTTCTACAGTTTAAAATGGTATTGATCTCATCCTTAGAAATGTCGGAATAAAACTTGGTAAATTCCAAAGCCATTTTAAATAGGTTTTTAGATACAGATGGATAGAAGTCCACAATATCGAATTGTAATTAAGAACAATTACTTTTATTGTCAAAATCCTTAAACCAGTTAATGACTTCTGTAGTAGCAACTCAGTGGATGAAACCAAGATGTTTTTTAATTTGTAGGTTCACACGTTTTAGAATGGTTTTTCTGACTCTACCGATTTCAGACTTAGTTGGATTAATAATTCTTGTAAGTAGTTTACTCAAAAACTCGGGTTTATGATCTTTAAGTAGAACATAAGCTTCTTCAGTAGAACGTTTAGCCACACTATCACTGATTTTCAACTTATCAATAATCTTTTTATACGAAGAATTGATGATGTTCACACAATTAGAGTTGTCAATATTCACTTTCTTATAATTCTTCATTAAACCATTTCGAATCAAAGCTTTATAATCCTTTGGTTCAAATCTGTAAACGTTTGTAGTTTTATCCGATTTAACAGATATGATTAGATTGTTTGATCAACGTGTCCAAGTGATTTTAAAATTTGTTTTTGTGATTATGGAAGTTGATATTATTAATGATATCAAATAAATCCATTTCGAAACTGTGTAATTGGTCAATGAGAGGTGCCGTTTTCAAATTTTTAAATCTATTTGTATCAACTGTGTTAGAAATCTGTTGTTTCCGGTCTTTAAGGAAGAAACATGCCATTCATCTCATTCTTCTAATTATGTCTTCAGTTTTAAGAGTAGTTTCTGAAAATATTCCTGTTTGTTTGGGATGGGAATATTCTTCAGCGAGATACCGAAATCAGTTTTGTCCATGTTTGAAGTTTAAATTGTCAGCAACAATGCTCAACATTAATAGGAGCACCATATCCAAAATAATGACAACGAAAAGAATATAAATTCAAGCGTTCATAGCATTAATTTAAAAGAGGACTCAATACCAAGAGTAGAAAAATAGTTATTTATTATAAAGATGCTACATACGGACAAACAAATACTCACGACAAAGATGCATTTTTGTTTCGATGTGAACGCACCTCTACAAGTGAGGAACAAAGATGGTTATAAACAATTCTATTTATAAATGGTATTTATGAAACATCACTTCCTTTTTTCATTAGTCAATGTTTTTTTATTGTTTTCCTTTGTTAGTTCTTTCTTTTTTGTTTCTCCTTTTTTCCGTTTTTTTTCGTATTCATGTAGATCTTTCACCTATTCGCTTTTCTAGTCTATTCTCTTCTATTTTTTCTTCATTTTCTTTAGTGTTGTTTTTTAATCTTTCTTAACTCGTATATTTCGCCTTCCTTTTCTCTTTTTATTCGCTTATTATACTCCTCTGCTTGCTTTTACCTGTTTTCTTTTTATTATTATTTTTTCTTTTCCTTTTATGTAAAATCTTTACATATTTATTTTCCTTTTATGGTGTTTCTTCTTATGTCTGTTTTAAAAAAATAATTGACTAATGAAAAAAAGAAAGTGTTATTTCATATAAAGTATTTTTTAAATATATTTATTTATAACCATACTTGTTCCTCACCTGTCGAGATGCATTCACATCGAAACAAAAATGCATCACTGTTGCGAGTACGTATGTAACATCTTTATAATATATATATATATATATATATATATATATGATCTATTTCTCTCATAGTCGTTAAAGTGTGCCCTCCTCTACATTTTCTTTCATTAGTCTCTTCTTCATATTCTTTTCTTATTCGTACTTTTATCTTCAGTTTTTTTTCCTCCTGTCTTTTATTTATCGTCTCTGTTTCGCCTGTTTTACAGCAATCTTCCGTACCGCTTTGAGGATTTTTTTTTATTATATTTTTAATATTTTCTCTTGTTGTTTTTTCTCTTTACAATCGTTTTGTTTTCCTTTTTATTGTACGCTCACAGTTACTTTTTATTTTACTGATGATTCTCCATCTTTTATCATTTTAATATCCTTTTAAACAACCCAACCTTAATTTACCACAAATCTCTTTCAAGCTCAAGTTCAATTTACCTTCTTCTTGTAACATTACGACTGCCTCACTTTTCCCCGTTTTTCCTTTTTATTTTTGCTTTTTTTCGTTTTTCTTTTCTTTCTGGTATTTTTTAACATAAGTTTTAGTCCTCTTTTTTTCCCCCTTTTTCTTTTCTTTCTGACATTTTTTAACTTCAGTTTTAAACCTCTTTTTTTTTCTCGTTTTTCTTCTCTGACATTTTTTAACATCAGTTTTAGTCCTGTTTTTTTTCTCGTTTTTCTTTTGTTTCTGACATTTTTTAACTTTAGTTTTAGTCCTCTTCTTTTCCTCGTTTTTCTTTTCTGACATTTTTAACTTCAGTTTTAGTCCTCCTTTTTTTCTCGTTTTTCATTTTTTTCTGACATATTTTAACTTCAGTTTTAGTCCTCCTTTTTTTTCTCTTTTTTTTTTCTGACCTTTTTTAACTTCAGTTTTAGTCCTCCTTTTTTTTTTTTTTTTTTTTTCTGACATATTTTAACTTCAGTTTTAGTCCTCCTTTTTTTTCTCTTTTTTTTTCTGACCTTTTTTAACTTCAGTTTTAGTCCTCCTTTTTTTTCTCTTTTTTTTTTCTGACATATTTTAACTTCAGTTTTAGTCCTCCTTTTTTTTCTCTTTTTTTTTTCTGACATATTTTTACTTCAGTTTTAGTCCTCCTTTTTTTCTTTTTTTTTTCTGACCTTTTTTTAACTTCAGTTTTAGTCCTCCTTTTTTTTTTTTTTTTTTTTGACATATTTTAACTTCAGTTTTAGTCCTCCTTTTTTTCTTTTTTTTCTGACATATTTTTACTTCAGTTTTAGTCCTCCTTTTTTTTCTCTTTTTTTTTTCTGACATATTTTAACTTCAGTTTTAGTCCTCCTTTTTTTTCTCTTTTTTTTTTCTGACCTTTTTTAACTTCAGTTTTAGTCCTCCTTTTTTTTCTCTTTTTTTTTCTGACCTTTTTTAACTTCAGTTTTAGTCATCTTTTTTTTTCTTTTCCTTTTCTTTTTTATGTTCTTTATGCTTAGATTCAACTTCTTTTTTTTGTTCTCTTCTTTTTCCATTTGGCGTTTCACACTTCTTCCTCCTCTTATCCTTCTCATTCCTCTTCTCCTTCATCTTCTCCTTTTCCGGATCTTTTCTTTGATACATGTTCCTTTCCTACACAATTTTACCACTTCCTCTTTTCATCTACTTCTATTGTCACCTCTTCGTTTTCTTCATCTTCACTTCCCCATTCTTCTTTCTCATCTTTTTCTTTTCCTCTTCTTTGTATCTCTTTCTTTTCATTGTCATTACCTTTCCTTTCTCTTCTTTCCTCCTCCTCTTCTTCTTTGCCTCTTCTTTGAATATATCCCTTTTCATTGCCACTATCTTTCCGTTCTCTTCTTACTCCTTTTTTCTTTTTCTTGTATATCTCTCCATTCTTTGCCGCTACCTTTCCGTTCTCTTCTTTACCCTCTTCTTCTTTTTTTCCTCTACTTTGTATATCTCTTCTTTCTTTGACACTACCTTTCCGTTCTTCTCTTTCCCCTCTTCTTTTTCCCTCTACTTCGTATATCTCTCCTTTCTTTGCCACTACTGTTTTGTTCTCTTTTCTCCTCCTCCTCTTCTTTGCCTCTTCATCGAACATATCCCTTTTCATTGCTACTATCTTTCCGTTCTCTTCTTACTCCTTTTTTATTTTTCTCGTATATTTCTCCTTTCTTTGCCACTACATTTCTACCGCAGAAAAACGTTTACCTGATCCGGAAAAAAAAACTTCTGTCTCATTAGTCATGACTCGAAAGACTTGATTGATATTATAATTAAAATTAATGTTCACCATTACAAGGCTCGAGAGCCACACACAAAGAGGCTTAACAAATGTTATATTAACGCAAGAGGAGGAAGTAGTGTTAAGTGAAAATTATGAGAATGACAAGGATAGATAATGATTGACCATTGACTTGAACAGATTAAGAATGTAGTGTTCGGGGAAGCATCTATGCGGGAGTCTGCTCAATAAAGCAACAATTCTTGGTCTTCTCTGTGGGTCGAATACACTTTTTATTAATGGAATACAGGGGAAATGAAGGTGATTCAAATCTTTGAATGTAGCATGGTGGTTCGTAGTCGTAAATGTGTGAATCGATGACTCTAAAGAATGCAGCATTTGGGAAATGAAACTATTCCAGTAGCAATGATCTGCAAGACAAACCTACTGACCAATGTTCTCTGGAGATTAAATTAAAGGATTTATTAAATATAATATTGTCTGGTAAAGGGTCATTAATATAGGGTATCCAGTGAGGATTATCAATGATCAGTGAGTAGAAATCAGTAAAACTTTGTTTATCTAAAGGCAGCCTATTTTTTTTTTGTTTTTTTAATCAATTCACCCCCAAATAAGGCGATAAAGCCACTATGACGAAAGAGGCTACTAAGAGTGAAAAACAATGGAAAAACGTCAGAAAGAAATGGAAAGCCAATCCTAAACAACAAAAAAAAAATCTCTACACTTATTCAAAGACAGGGGAGACGTGTGAGCTGGAGGCTAGGCGAAACTATTTACTTTGTGGACTCTTCCACAACAAGCTAGTTAACCCCTGCTAGTAAATGCACTATTCCTGTTATAATTTTCACCATCATACAAATATATAACAACTATTCATTGGTAAATCACCTTCAATCTAGCTTGCTGATTGGTCAGTTCTCTGTCCTACCTTTTCAGTTCGCATTCATGTATATCAAACATTAATAAATTCAGTTGTTATGTTTTGAAACAAGATGTTTATGAATCTTTATTATTCTCTATTTTGTATTAATTGCTGTGGATGGAAGATTATTGAACACACACAATTTCAAACCTTCTAATAATTCAAACCTTCTGATAATTCAAGCCTTCGGATAATTCCTTTCCAACACACATCACACACATTCGCAACAACTTCCTATAGAGGAAAAATAGATAAATTGAAAATAAAATTGCAGATTTTAGGTGCAGGCGTTAGAAGTATAGCGTTAAAGTTGAATTTTTAATGAACCGAAACGCTAACCTTAAACACGAAACAATGTAAAAACATGCACTCCTGTTCAAGAGACATGGAAAGTGCGTGAACCGGACAAAAGGTGAACCTCTCTACTAGTCTGAGGCGCTTATTGTAGATAGTCTACGTTACCTTGCTTGGTAACTGAGCTACTTTAGTAGAATATATATTTACTATTTTCTCTACTCTTTCTTTCTCTATTTGCCCTCTCTCTCAACTAGACTTTTGTTATCTATTTTTTTTCATTTCTTTTCTTCTTTATCTCTATCCTTTTATTGCTCTCTCTCTCTCTCTCTCTATCTCTCTCTCTCTCTCTCTTTCATTTTTCACTGTTTTCATTTCTCTTTCTTTCTCCCCTCTTCGTTTATTTTTCCTTATTTCTCATTTTATTCTTACTCGATTTCCCTCTCTTTTCTCCTCTCGTTTCTCCTGTTTTTTGTAGATTTTTTTTTTTTTTGATTTCAACGTTTACCGTCTTCTCTTTCTTTCTTTCTTTCTTTCTTTCTTTCTTTCTTTCTTTGACTCTGGGTATTTTTCCTTGCTTTTTTTACCATTTTTCTCTTTTTCTCTATTCATTCCGACTCACCTTCTCCCTCTTTTCTTATTTCGTTTATTCTCTTTTTTCATTCCCGCCTCTCTTTCTTTCTCCCCCTGTTTTCTTTGTTTCTCTCTTTGTTTCCTTACCTTTAGCTTATTTTTCTTTTTAATCCCACTGACGTCCTCTCTGTTCTCTCCTCGGTTAGTCTCTCTCTTTTCTTTATTCTTTTTTCATTCCTTCTTTATATATGTTCACTCAATCTCTCCCCTTCTTTCGTCTGCTTTTGATTATTTTTCTTTTTTCTTTTATCTCTCCCTCTATTCGAATTCCCTCTTTTCTCCTCCCATTTATTCTCTTTTGTTGATTTTCTTTTTTCTTTCTTCATTTTTCTTTACTCTCTTTCTATTTGTCTCTTTCTGTCACTTTCTCTCTCTCTCTCTCTCTCTCTCTTTCTCTCTTTGTGTCTCATCCTTTTTTTTTTTTTCTTATTTTTCTCTTTATTCCTACACACTATTCCTTCTTTTCTCTCCTCGTTTACTCTGTCGTTTTATTGATTTTCTTTCTTTCTTTCTTTCTTTCTTTCTTTCTTTCTTTTCTTTCTTTCTCCCCTCTTCGTTTATTTTTCCTTACTTCTCACTTTACTCTTACTCGATTTCCCTCTCTTTTCTCCTCTCGTTTCTCCTGTCTTCTCTCTCTTTCTCTCTTTGTGTCTCGTCCTTTTTTATTTTTTTTTTCTTATTTTTCTCTTTATTCCTACACACTATTCTTTCTTTTCTCTCCTCGTTTATTCTGTCGTTTTATTGATTTTCTTTCTTTCTTTCTTTCTTTCTTTCTTTCTTTCTTTCTTTCTTTCCCCTCTTCGTTTATTTTTCCTTACTTCTCACTTTACTCTTACTCGATTTCCCTCTTTTTCTCCTCTCGTTTCTCCTGTCTTCTCTCTTTTCTCTTTTGTGTCTCGTCCTTTTTTTTTTTTTTTTCTTATTTTTTCTTTATTCCTACACACTATTCTTTTCTTTTCTCTCCTCGTTTATTCTGTCGTTTTATTGATTTTTCTTTCTTTCTTTCTTTCTTTTTTCTTTCTTTCTTTCTTTCTTTCTCCTCTTCGTTTATTTTTCCTTACTTCTCACTTTATTCTTACTCGATTTCCCTCTCTTTTCTCCTCTCGTTTCTCCTGTCTTCTCTCTCTTTCTCTCTTTGTGTCTCGTCCTTTTTTATTTTTTTTTTTTTATTTTTCTCTTTATTCCTACACACTATTCTTTCTTTTCTCTCCCTCGTTTATTCTGTCGTTTTATTGATTTTCTTTCTTTTCTTTCTTTCTTTCTTTCTTTTTCTTTCTTTTTCTTTCTTTCTTTCTTTCTCCCCTTTTCTTTTATTTTTCTTTCTTTTTTTCTTTTCTTTCTATTCTTTTCTTTCTTCTTCTCCTTCTTTCTTTTCTCTTTCTTGTCTTTCCTTTTTTTTTTTTTTTTCTTATTTTTCTTTATTTCTACACTATTCTTTTTTTTCTCTCCTCGTTTATTCTGTCGTTTTATTGATTTTTTTTCTTTCTTTCTTTCTTTCTTTTTCTTTCTTTTCTTTCTTTCTTTCTTTCTTTCTTTTTATTTTTTTCTTTTCTTTTTCTTTTCTATTTTCTTTTCTTTCTTTCTCTCTTTCCTGTCTTCTTCTTTCTTTTTGTGTCTTTCCTTTTTTTTTTTTTTTCTTTTTTCTCTTTTTATTCCTAAACACTTTCTTTCTTTTTCTCTCTCCCTTATTCCCTTCTTTTCTTTTTTTGATTCTTTCTTTTTTCTTTTCTTTATTCTTCTCTCTTTTTTCTTTCTTTCTTTCTTTTTTCTTTTTTCATTCTTTAATTTTATTCTTTCTTTTCATTCTTTCTTTTCCTTTCTCTTCATTTCTTTCTTTCTTTTTTCTTTCTTTCTTTTCTTTCTTTTTCTTTCTTTCTCTTCTTCTTTTATTCTTTCTTTTTTTCTTTTCTTTCATCTCTTTCCTTTGTTTCTTCTTTTTAATCTCCTTTTTCTTCTTTTTTTTTTTATTTTTCTTCCTATTCCTACTTTGATTCGTCTTCTCACTTTTATTCTGTCTCTTTTTTATTAATTTTTGTTTTTCTTTCATTCTTTGTCGATGATGTCTCTCAACGATTCTTTTTTCTTTTCTCTTATTTTTCTTTCATTCTCTTTTATTCTTCTTTTTTTCTAATTCATTTTTTTTCTTCTCTTTTATTTACTCTTTTTCCCTACTTTTCCTTTTCTTCACACATTTCCTTTTTTTTCTTTTTTTTCTTTTTTTTTTATCGCAATCCTTTCATTCCTTCCTTTCTTTCTCTCCTAATTTATTCTTATTCTCTCTTTTCTGCTTTCAGTTATTCTCTCTTTAGTCATTTTTACTTCTAACTTTTCTTTACTCATTTTTCCCTTACTTTTCCTTCTCTCACATTTTCTTTTCTTTCTTCTTTTTTTCTCCTTGCTTTCCTTCCTTTCCTCCTCCTAATTTATTCTTCTTCTCTCTTTTTGCTTTCAGTTTATTCTCCTCCTTAGTCACGTTTATCCTCCTTTTCTTTATTCATTTTTCCCTTATTTCTTTTCTTCTCCTTTCATTTTCCTTCTTCTTCTTCTTCTTCTTCTTCTTCCTCCTCCTCCCTCCTCCCTCCTCCTTCTTCTTCTTCTTCTTATTCTTCCTTCTCCTTCTTCTTCTTCTTCGTCTTATTCTCCTCCTCCTCCTCCTTCTTCTTCTTCGTCTTATTCTCCTCCTCATCCTCCTTCTTCTTCTTCTTCTTCTTCTTCTTCTCCTCCTCCTCCTTCTTCTTCTTCGTCTTATTCTCCTCCTCCTCCTTCTTCTTCTTCTTCTTCTTCGTCTTATTCTCCTCCTCATCCTCCTCCACCTCCTTCTTCTTCTTCTTCTTCTTCTTCTACAATTATTCCTTTCTTATTCTATTTCAAATCCAGATCTACAATTACTTTATTTTCAGCTTTCATTCACCGATGCCTTCTTTTATCCGGCACGACATATCTTTTCCTCTTTCATTATGTCCTTTGTATTTCGTATCGTCTTTGAAATTCTATATTCTCTTTTTTATTTTCCAACGCTAAATTTTAGATTCTCTCTCCTTACTTTTCACCGTCGCCCTCCACTACTCTTTTCTTTTTTTACAAGCTTTGTCATCAAAAGCTTCTTCTGAGGACTTCGCAGCGGCAAGCATGTCTCTAAAATCTTTTGACGTACGCCAAGACACGAAGAATCTTTATCCCAAGCCTTTTCTTTGAAGCACACAATGTCTAAATTTAATATGTGCCATCTCTTCCAAAATTAAAACGGAGAAATGATAGATGGCTCAAAGATATTTTGTATTAATAATGCGAAATAAATGGACAACCCAGAACTTAAACTGGGAGTAAACCGCCTGGATAAGGATAGAAAATAAATGTGAAAAGAGGGTATGGAAAATTTGACACCGTGGAAAAATATTAAAGACAAGACGGACAAAGGAAAACATTGAATAACATAACGAACGAGCTTGTGTAGGTGGTTGACAGAATAGTGAGACAGCAGAAACAAACATTGCTAAGAGCAACAAAGTAGAGGAAGCTGTGGAGTGCCATTATCTAAATTTAATATGTGCGCTCTGTTCTAAAATTAAAACTGAGAAATGATAGATCCCTAAATGACACTTTGTATTAATAACGCGAAAGAAATGGACCACTCAAAACGTATGGATAAGGATAGAAGATAAATTCAATAATTCCCCAAAAATAGAAAAAGGCGTAAGACAAAGAGAAGTCTTCTCGCCGGACTTATTCAACATTTACATTGAAGCAAAACTTTGGCAATTTGTAGTCCTTCAAAGATTCGATTATTGACGGCCACAAACTTAATATAAGATATGCAAATGACACAGTGTTGATTGCAGACACGGAAAAGAAATCAGAGGCTTATCTAAAGAAAGTAGTAAAGGAAAGCAAGAAGAAAGGACGCAGCACTAAACAGGGTTGTTATAAAAAAGAACAGTGCAAAATGTGAACTACGACTTAGGGAAAATAAAATCAAGCAAGAAGACGGAAAATGCGACACCAAAAACCGAACACGGACTGGAATACAGAAAGGTACCTTCCAAAAGTTAAGCAAAGTATTAAGAAACAGGAAAATTTTGTTTGAAACAAAGAAAAGTGCTTAAATGTCATGCAATAACAGCATTGAATGATGGACAATCCACTTACAGGGAAGCATAGTTCTGAGGCAACAGAATTATGGTTCTGCAGAAGGATGATGAGAATATCATGGACAGAACATGTACGCATACGAATTTTTTTTTTAAAATGGAATCATAATGAACACTTACAGTCTTAAAGAGACAAGTGGAAGGTGTCTTCCAAAGGTTAAGCAAAGAATTAAGAAACAGGAAAATTTCGTTTGAACTAAAGAAAATTGCTGAAACGTTACGTTATAAGACGGACAGAGGAAAACAGTGAATTAACCTATATAACGAGCTTGTGTAGGTGGTTGATAGAACAATGAGATAGCAGAAGAATACATGAAGCTCTGGAGAGCCATTCTCGCTAACGTTCTTAAAGGACACAACAGAGAAGATGATGAATAAAATACATAGCAGCACATAATGTTATAAATACCGGAAGTCTCTGTTTTACAAGTTTTTCTGTGAGTGATTTAATTCCTTCAATGTATTTGTAGTAACTTATTTGCTGGTATTTCATGTTGATTTTGACAGCTATATTTTGCGTGTTGGCTTAGGCCATATGATGAGGTTTATGACAAACATGAAGGTAGTTACTAACGCCCAATTTCCGTACTCTGGTGGTCAACACAGGTGTCACTTCTCGGGCCAACTCTCGTTTTGATTTAGATAAATGGCATGCGTAAGAATATACTCAGATCACTTGCAAAACTCTATGCGGTTGATACAACGATATACGGGTGAACCTCTAAAATGCTTGACGATCAGAGATTGGCAGCTGATCTCTCTTCCGATCAGCACGAACCCTCCAGTGGAGAAACTTGGCTAATTTGGCTAACAGTCAAACTCTCTGCTTTTGGTGGGAGAGGAACCCGGACGAGGCTCCGCTGAAGGGCAGTCTCGTTCGGGGTGGTTGACTGCCCCTGAACCCGTTTATGCGGGTTCAAAGAGGGAATATTTTTGGCCGAGTCTACGGGCTCGGAGATAACACGTTAAACCCGGCCTTGTGCCTCATGTAACCCTTGTTGGGGGGGTAGCTAAATATCACTATCCAGTGGGGGAAAATAGCTAGTTACATATAATGCCTTGAAAACCCAACTGGCTACATTCCATCACGAACTACCGTCATTCACGATGAACGGATGTCCCCATAGAGAGGCGACGTACCTTGAGAGACTATTGAG